GAATTTATTTTATGTAAACGCTCGTTCTCACAAAGGCTGTCATCCGGAGAATGAACAAAAGGAGCGTCTGAATATTTCAACTTCCAACTTTAATTTTTTGCTCGACGACCCGTCCTCGACCTGCATGTTTTATCGGAAATCGCGGATATCGAGCCGTTATGGGGATTACGGCCGAGGATTAAATGAATCGTGTTATTTGTACCAAACAAATTAATTTTCTATTAACGGATCGCGACTGGATTAAATTAAAAAGCAAAATCTTGCCTTTCGACTGAACTGACTATCCGATTAGGAGCACGTGCATATATTTTTAAAACGCCTCTGTAGAGGCGGCAACGCCCACAGTTATAAATAACGGTAGCTGTACTTACTACTTATAGTTGATGGCTATGCAATATTGGTTTATGATTTCGAATTCTAAATGATAATGGAAAATTTTATTTATTTTTTTTTTTTGTTAGTTTAGTGTAGCATAAGCGTAATTCAGCTCTTCCTCGCCGCATTCCGCGAAAATTACCTGTAATTTCACGGGGCGCCGACGATTTGGTGGTTAACGTATTAGAGGGTCGGTTCGTTTAAATCCTGAAATTTTTAACCCTTTAAAGGGCAGACGCGAGTTTTCGTTAATAACGTTTTTTACGCATGGCTTGGCACGTTAATGAAACCGCGTTTATAGCAGTTTTGTTGTTTTCAATGTGTTTGGATTATTAGGTGCGCAGTAAATCGTGGCAAAAAATGTGAAATTGATGATGGAAATTGATATCGTTGCGAGTGTAATGTGATGTGAAAAAGTCGGAATCTATGGACAGTTGTACCAACATTTGCCGGCTTGATTCATCGGTTTTTACCGTTAAAAGCAATTTTAGTAATAACAGTGACTATTATTATGTGGGTATGTGTTTAACTGTTTATTTATAAATAAATCCTTTTCCGTTTTATGCTTAGCGTTATTGCACAATTGCACTTGTGGTAATAATGGTTGGTTGAATACAGTCCGCAAAATAATCGCAGTAGTGTTTTTTTATAGTAGTTCTATATTATCGTACTGTTCCGGTTTGATAACAGTAATTACATGGTTGGAAATTAATTTGTTTACCACAGAGTAGGTATGTTAAAAGGTACTTTTTATTGTCATAATGAAAGCCATAATTATTTGTTATTATCGAGGAATGTTTAAGGTTACAAGTGCAACGTCGTCTAAGCATTTACGTATTTCCAAGGAAAAAAAAAACAAATGGAATTTATAAAAGTAGCATTTAATTTTTAATAACACTGCGAAATTTTGGTAGAACATCATCCTCGTATTTCGAAAGCATAATATTCAATTCGGTTTTGTAAAGCTGATATCTCTAGCCTTGGTGCAGCTGTATCAAATTTGCTTTGAAAGGGAAGCCACACAGGTTTTTTTATCGGTTTCATAATTGCATAACGAGGATACTGAACTTTAAGGTTGACAACATAATTACTTGTAATCCTATCTATTTCACTCAATATGTGCAAAAAGAACCAACAAGATTCTGGTATTTGCGCAATTAAATGTTAACATTTGCATTTAAAAGTTCATTAGCCATTGAGCTGTAGCTCGTAAATATTAATCATCTATCTGGAAATCGGAGAGACGAAAATTGCCTGAAAATAAATTTTCGGCCTGCAGCCTACAAAAACCCACGGATTCCTGAGGAACTTGATACATGATTGTTACACAAATTATCATAACGCTTTTGTTATTCCGCTTTTATTCGTGTCAACAAAAAATTTTTACGTCAAATTTGAAAAAATCACGCGGAGTGTGATAATTTTAATCGCAAATGACCAAAACCAAAACCGAATTTCGTTACGTGACAGCGGTGTTTAGCACTCGTACTATTATCGTGTGACCCAAATGACTTGTTTGTTCATGTACGTTATCTTTTTATTTTAAAGAAATATTTTTGTTAATCCAAACAAAAACAGTTATATAATACGACGACGAGTAATAAAGAAAACTTGGCACCGGCCCGATGTGAACCTGCTGTTGCACTCGTTAAAAACATAAACAAAATATCTCATCCCGTTTACACCCAAAATACCAACTTTCCATGTTTATTTCGGTTGGGCACACGATTCTCTATAAATAGCGCTCTATCGAGTTTTCATTTTGTAAACACGGCTTGTGTTTTCCAGCTACTTACCAGAGAAACTAGTCTATTCATGTCAGAACTACTGTTTGAGAACGGAAGACGCTAATTAATCGACGTTTTCGTACGTAATGGGTCAACACTTTTGCAGTTAGGTGTACTTCCGTCCGAGGTCCGTCACATCGCAAGGTGATAAACTTGACCTTGCGTAGACGAAAACAAAATTGCCCAAATTCGCACTCGTATTTCGTGACTTCGAAAAAAACGGACGTCCTATTTTTGTCTGCGTGCAACTTAAAACATGTGAATAACGACGGCGGCTCGCCCGCCCTTTTAAGGGCACAAACTCTCCCGGATCAAAAATTTAGCCTCCCAACTGCATATACATGTAAAATCAATGCCGGACAGCGCGTACGCAATGCAGTCGATATTGGGCTCGGACCAGTCCCTTCGACCCTTATTCAAGGTCGCACAATGTCATTGTAAATTCAATAACGGACACCCCTGGGCTGATTAATCACGAACCACCCTAGCTTTTAAACGGAATATGCAGAGGTTGTTTTTGGGTTGGTAAAAGCGCGCATTGCCGGCAGGGGAATATCGCCGAATTAATTTGGTAGCCTTGACATTGACAGCTAACAAGAACGCCGATAGATAGCCTCAGAACGGGAAATTGGCGACGTTGGAAAACAATCGAATGGCGGTCACGATCAAGGCCGTGGCGATATATTTACGTTGGAGGTATGAGGCGGAACGTTGGACTGTTTACGTGTTGTTTTTTATGTAAGAGCTAAATATAAAGCAATTATGCAAGGAAAACAATGTCGGTTAATTTTGTATGGAAATTAAGTGGAGTCGGTGGGTTCCGGTGCAGGGATTTGTAATCTACAGCGCGCGACGTTGTCAGATGTCGCTGCGACGCCTAAAACTAATGGAGGTGTCGGGAGCTTCGCTCCCGATCCATGTATTACTATAGTTCTTGATAACTAGTTTTGTGCAGGAAACATCAATTCCATTCCCAACGATTTTTCTCTCATTAGTGGCGAACACAAGGTTCGAAGAATATTTCCGCGATGGAACGAATCGTAAATTTGTCTTGATGAATAGTTCAGTTCTTCGGTATGCATTATTTGCATTTCTGAAATGCGTAAAATTTTGCCGCATGCAGGTGCTGTAACATGAATTTAATCCAAGCACCAACCCTTGACGTTAGTGGAATTGTCGAGATTTATAAGTCATAAAAGTTTGATTAAAATGCAAGTTGCGCTTTCTTAAAACTGTCTTGTACCAAATTACGCAATCTCGACTTTCCCCCGTTGCGTCAACTTTACTCATTCCTTATCCGCACAGCCGTCTAGACGGTTAAATTTAACTTACAAGAAATTCTCTAAGCATTAAGTTTTATCGTCTTCTGGTATGTGAACAGACCATTGACAAAGAACTTCTTCGCGACGGTGAGGATGTTAAAGCGCAACCAAGGCCGCCGAGTCTTGCTCGAATGCTCTACTGCCTCCATTTAAATACGCTACGAAACAATGTGAAGGTCGAACATACCGTGGAAAGACGAAAAACGTGGGAGAAAAGTTTGTTAGCGCGATCCCATCCCGAGCGTCTTTCACCTAAACCGGTTACTCATTTAATTTTGTAACTTTGGACGGGCGGAAAGTTCGTAAATTGTACGGGATTCGGTGCTTGCGATACTCAATTCAAGCTCGCGTTTCCGTCTGACTGCCTGGGATCCGTCCGTTGGTTGTGCCGTTATATCCATCAATCTCATTGCTTTTGAAATGTTAGCCATATGTGAAAATTGATAACACCTTCCTGATTCAAGATTTTTAGTCCCACTGTGTAGGGGTTGATTAAATAGTACAATAACCAGTTACCACGATTAGGATTACCTTAAATAAAACGTTTGCAATAGACTAGAGGTCATGCAACGTCGTGAAAACACGGAAGTGGCAAGTCGCCCGATGGATTCGCCTATGCTCAGGAAATAAAATGTACTCAATACCTTTTTCAGCAAAAGATCGTCTGGGCGAGTTCATAGTAAATAAGTAGGGATTTTTCAGTATTATGACTTTGGGTTGCCATGCGCGACCACAGCCTCCAATAAATTTTGTGTTTACGTTCTATTCCGCTTCCATTAGCCTCACATGTGGTGTCGCAAATAATTCCAAACTCTTCGTCCCGGCGCCCGAGGAATGAATCCAGTCGAATACGGCGTGGAATCCGGAGCTTTCGAGCTATTCCGGAATTATGTGGGCTCTTCCAGCTGCAGACCAGCGTCCAGACCGCAGGACAGTAAAAACGTTTTAATAGTTCCATTCGTAAACTTTTATTTGCAGGAAAACAATAAACGTTAAATATTTTTTATTTTTCGGATTCAATCTGGTCGCGTCACATCGCAGCGGCGTTTTCATCAACAGAAGCAATTCTGCCATCTTCGCATACGCAATTTCGTATTCAATTTGCGATGGAATGCGACGTGGAAATACAGATTATATTTTGACATTTGACAAGGATCAATGGAAATTCAATCCGCCGGAGTGTTCGGAGCGCCGCTCAACACCGAACATTACCAAAATGTTACCCTTGCAACTAGAAAGGAAAATGAGAGATGTTATTACCCTTGCAATATCCTCTCGTTGCTGACGTTTCCTTTTTCCGCAGACGTTTCGATTCTTGTTTGTGCGCATCAAGGTGATTGGAATTTCGCTGCCGCAAACAGAACTACCCTCCGCGACTTTTTTTTCGTAATTATTTTTAAAGTTCGTGCTCGTGTTTCGACTTCCTCTCGGGGAGTAAGTTAATTCGAGTTCGCGTCGAAATAGACGAAAATCGAATTGGAACAATTTGTTAATTGCGATTAATGTTTGATTGCAGGGTCGGAGGCGGCGCCAATGGGATTTTCACCCGCCGGCTGGATTTCAGCTCTTTCAACGCTTTACCGAAGAACAAACTCAATTCCTATCAAATCAAGGTAAGAGTTCGCTGATTGCTTCTTGTCTTCTCCACTTGACAGATCCGTCGCAATTCCGAGTAAATAAGACTTTCTGCATGTGTTCGTTAATTCGCCTGTTTCGCACGTGCCGGGTGAAGAAACGAGCTCGTTATGCGTCCCGTGCGAAATAAGTCTATCGTTAAAAGTACGGTTTCCATTAGCATTCAGAGAGCACACACGCCATATGAATCAATTAACATACAAATGCAGCGTATTGATCTCGTTTGTAAACGAACGCAGTTTACTGAAGCGTGTTTAGTGCGATTTTCCAATATCGTAACACATTCGACTAAAATTACTAGTGAATGTAATCGTTCAGAACTAGTTTGTTATTTTTGCGTTTGCAGGTCGCACTAATCACGAACGATCGTGCAAAATACTGTAATGGTCTCGAATTTTTCGCCCATATCTCGGTCACAGAGTTTCAGACCTTCGGATCCACGAATGCATTAACACGCCAAGGAGTACTGAGTAGTGTCTGTGTATACTTGTAGAGTTCTATGCAAATAAAAATATTAATGAATAATGTAGACGGGCGCAAACCCAAGAACAATAAAGCAATCAGACTGCGAGGATATTAAAACCGACATTAGTCACAATTACGAGACAGAACTACATATTCAGAGGAGCTTAACAAACGAACCACTTGTCTTGGACGACGTAATTGACGGCGCCACATATTGTTAAATTTTGCTAATAACGCTTGCGGGGGAGGGGGGCGACGGCCTTGGGGGAGGAGATTTTTGACGCAGAATGATAAATAGTAAAAGTGGGAGACAGAAACGACCTTTTGGAATTTCCTCTCAAATTAAAAAATCCCAAGCTTTGGGTACAGTTAGTTTGGTGGTGGTCGACGAAGATCGAGATTTTTCTCTTAGATTTTCGTCCCCAACAAGATGAACTCTTGGATTTCCATCTTTGTCGTGCCATTAGGGACATACTTCCTCGGCCTTGGATTAATTAAATTAATTTCATAAATATATTTGTCTAACAGATGCAGAATCCATTAATTTTCAGTAATAATAATAAATTTAGTTTCTAATTCTGACTAATGGAAGCATATGATTTTCTCTCTGCATTCAACCTCATTTTAACAGCAAAAATATAATTTTTATTTGCATACCAGTTAATAACATCACATAATCTTACGTACGTGTAGGAGAAAACTTTGAAACACTTTAACAGGAAACTTTGTTGATAACTTTTTAAAACTACATACATGATCGTTAACCATACTTGAAATATTGAAATCTCCACAAATGTTAACATTATTTTCAATCGTAATTAATCCATTTTCTAGAACATCAAAAAAATCCTCATAAATCATGTAAGATGGAAAACAAGTAGTAGCTATAATTACTAAACACATACAATGTCAATCTGTGGAATTTTATTTTACTAAACATCGTTTTGACAATCTCCCTTCTTTGTACGTCGCAGAATTTCAATAAGGGGAAGTCGCCTCGTCCATTTTTTCGTATTCTGGACACACTGCTCCTCAAAACAAAAAGCCCCGATACTGCGTTAGTCTAGCAAGCTCTTGACGACAGATACAGCGACAATCGAGTCTGGAACGTGTGTGGAATTGCAAAATTATTTGTTGGTCCTGGGTAATTGATTAAAAGTGGCAGCTTTGATTGCGTTCAAGCGACTAACAATTACCTGATTGTTTTTGCAAATTGAGCAACTCGTACTGCTACTGACCGAATACGTTCTTCCTTTTGTGCAGTTCATTATCCTCCTCCACGAGAGTAAGTCGACGCAATTTGTCTTGTAACTTTGAATTGTTTCCACTTTACAGTAATTTTCGGGGACGTTGACTTATCCTGGAACTGTGACACGAGAGGATGAAGCGAAACTAATTAAATTTTTATGTTCGCCGGTCACTCCCACTCGGTGTAGCGATTTTTTGAGATGCAGGAAGATGATGTATTGATTTAAAATTTAATTAACTTCGTCGGAAAGTTTTCGTTTTTGTTACCGCCAGCATCTTCGGCAGCGGGCGACTTTTTGGTCCCTCGAATCGAAGATGTTGGTTTAATGCTTATTCGGACTTCTCATCAGAGTTAATATCACATTTGTATTTTACGTTCGCCTAAAGCTAGTTGGTTCCAACATTCCGATATGCACGAAGTAACAGAATTCGGGTTTTTTCTCTCAACCACCCGGCGCTTTTGAGCGGAGAACAGGTTCGGACGTGGTCTGAAAAGACGGGTAAAAATCAAAATTGTACGAAGATGTCCAACAGCTGCAAACTCGTAACTATGCAACCAAACATACACACGTCCGCATTTTTAGCGGTAATTTGACGTCCCCCTCAAACACCCACCCTTGTTTTCGCTTCGTAATTGAATTCATCCCAACAAAGAATCCACCAGCACGTGACACATCCCTCAACAAAAAACTCCCAGGTTTCGCCTATCGATCACGCGTGTTCCCTCCAGAAAGGTAGGGTTGCGTAACTGCACTCTCCACCCTCGACGGCCCAACGCGAAATCAATAGACCAGTAATTGTCTCGACCCGTCCGAAGGAATCCATCATGGAAACTCGTCTGACCGACTGCTGCAGTTGCAGATGAGTCCGCATCCCTCTGCAGCCGTGTGGTCAACCGGTCGCTGGTCTTTGGGTCACGGTCTAACTCAAGACAGCGCGAGTCTCCGCCAGAATTCGAATGCAAATTAGCGATCCGAGCCGCGATTTCGGTAGCAACAGCGTTTTAAATTCCGTTGCTGTAGCAGCTTCGCACGGTTGGGGCGAATCCATATCCTACCTCATCCTCTGCGGCGTTGAGCTTCCCCTTTTTACGCACGCACAACGCGTGGCGGCGGGGACCGCATTTCCGCTCTCGCTGCACGGCCAACGCTGCAACGGAGCCGAGGGATCGATAGGAAAAAAGGGCGGAATTCACCAGAACTGTTGCGTAACCAGGAGATTCGGAGGACCTAAGGCAATGCGGAAAGCGTTGAAGTCGGGCACCAGGAGCTAGAACGCGGCTGTAACTAAGGTTGCCGGATTTTCAACATCCAGTATATGAGGTTAGGCACTCAAATATTATGTAAAACGAAAAAAGTATAGAGTTTCTTTTAGAAACACTTTGATTCGGTGTATAAAAGCGTGACAATCAAATTCGTTAATGAACTGAACACGTGATGACGTAGGATTTATTTTTCAAGGAATTATACGAGTACTGAACAGCAATTAAATCCAAAAAATTTACGTTCTCATTAACAGTATTAAGAGTGGTCATTAGAATGAAGAGAGGGTGAGTGGGCGGAGCCATTGCTTGCTTATGAAAGACTCTGAAGGTAAAAGTTAAATTTAGCCCCGCCCACCGACCCCGCCTCAATTTCAGTGATTGATTTTATCTGGTTAGAATGGAAGGTGGATCTTATACTAAAAAGAAACAAAATTAGTTGTTAGAATGAGAAGACCTCGGGTAGGGAGGGGAATTAGTACTGGCTAAGATAAGATTGATTTCGGCAAATAACATACTCTCCGTGAACATAAAGGGGGGGGGGGGTACTTGGTTAGATAAGACTGATTTTGACAAATGACGTATTCTCCAAGAAGATTGATGTATTCCATTTGAAAAATACGAGAAAACTGACAATTTGCAAATTTAATCACCAACGCTTCGCTTTTTATGAATTTGGTGTATTGTTTTATCATAACCCTGTATAACCTATAGCGTCATCATATGTTCTACTGTATTTGAAAGATAGATTTAAGTTAGAGTCCAAGGGTGTCTTTAAATAAGACGTCCAGAGTTTCGACGTAAATTGGCAGATACACAACACCTCAGATTAATTCCAGCAGAAAGTGCTGCGGCTGACGACCTCCACGTCTTCGTGCCAACACCTCCACTTTACGATTAGGCTATAATTTGCGTCATTATAGTACCGCGTAGTGAAAATGCTCATTACATGATCGCCTGCTAAGTACAAATTATTGAGACAATTATGTTTGCGCTATTTACAAGGTTAACTGTACACACAGTTCTGTTGGCGCTATTTTTCCCGATTACGTAAACGCAGCGTAGTAATTGCAACAAAATACACAGCCTCGTTTTAATACCTTGTTTCGAGCAGTGGCATTAAGTGAATTTATTTCCTTGTAATCCTCTTTAGAGATTGCGAAACGTCCCGTAAATTCGCTTCTTGTTCTTTTAGCGCTCGATTTTTGCGAATTAATTGATACTGAAACGGTTTCAGGAACAACGAAAACGTTAAAGCTGTACGATTTTTAGGTCTGGTGTTCCTGACAGATTTTAATTATTATTGATCGACCCCAAACTCGTTTGACTTTATTCGAAGTGGTGCATTTGGCGGTGGCAGGAAGTCATTTGTGACTATGTTTTTTGTTAGACGGTGATTTATTACAATTTGCCGGAGTAGTTGAGTATGAAAGAGCTAAATCGGATTGTGGATATCTTGAAAATTAAATTCAGGACGTCTGTGTCTAATTTTGTATGGCTTTAATGTCGGTGGCATCGTTCGCTTCTTACTGGCTTCGAGCAGAATCTGAAGTAATTCAGTTGACGAAAATCACTAGATCATTCCGTCGTTTTTTGCTAGTGGCGTTTCTGTTTACATAGTATATCAAGCAGAAATCGACGAGAGAAGATCATGTAGGTGATATCAAACGAAAGAGAAAGTGGGAAGTTTATTTAGCAAGGAAATATAAAGTCGATTGTAGAATGTTATAATCCTGAAACTGGCGACATACAAGTCTACGAGATCTAGGGTGCGACCGACGCAGTTTTTGCAGACCGTTATTTCAAGGATTAGTTTGTTCTTTTGTTGCAACGCAAACTATAAGTTAAAAAACAAATTATGTTCATCGCTTCCCTGACTAAAAATTCTTTCAGCAAAGCGGCTCGAGTTTCTCTTGTGAAAGCTAAAACCTGAAATGTCTACCCAGCGTTTCAATCTTCCATCTAAGTCGTTCTAGCACAAAACAAGCACAAAAAGTCGAAACA